ATATAATATATATATTTTTTCTTCTTCTTTCAATTATGCATAGATAAATAATCACAATAAGATCAATAACATGCATTTACAAAACAGATGGGCAAAATGGTCAATTTTTATTTCGCTCCGACTTATATTGTATGTGTGATTATTACATATGTACAGTATATTCTCTAAGTGTGTGTGTTGTACCTGGGCTTTCTTGCCATAGTATGGGTAGTACATAAGGTTGAAGGTGCCATTAGGGGGAAAGTACGCCAGTTCACCTAGTTTATCTGAGTCATCCGCCTACAGAGGGAGGAAGAGTTTATGAGTTCATCTCAGCATTTAATCTGAGGCTATCAACCTGTTCTAATACCAAAACTACTATTACTGAATTAAAGAAAATAAACAGAAAAACCAATCACCCTGTGAGATGATCTTATGCTGGAATTATCTAGCATATGATCTGACTGTATGAATAATCATTTTACCCTTTGCTGCTAAAACATGTCGATTTTAAAAGTTAATAAATATTAAAAATAATAGGTCAGTTTTTATACATTTTCCAATTTTTCCAAAAATTTTCCACATTTTCTCTCACTGCAGAATGTCAAAGCTGTAATGCACATTATGAATTCTCTGCCTCTGTTAAAATGATTATTCTTCATTCTGTCTATTATTCTTACCCACTCATCAGTGCCAACTTTGTATTTCTGACAAGAAGAATGGAGGGGGAGAACAGATGAGACACACACACACACACACACACACACAAAAACAATACAAATCAACCACATGGAACATAAACCGAGATGATGAGCAATGGTGTAAAACAATACAGATTGAACAAAACCTGAAACGACACTGAAAACAACAATTATATGACAACAGTACAGAACAAAGGAGGAGGAATGATGGGTTCATGATGAGAAAGAGCAAAATATATTGACAAGGGAAAAAAAAGGTGTGATGTTTAAAACAATTGGTGTGTACATTGCAATCGAAGTTAGGATTTGGATTGAGGAATGTATTTGCATGAGCCTGAATGGCGGTTGATATCCATTCAGAACCCACACAAACACAAACATACTTGATTCGGAGGGCACACACTATTGAGAAATCTCTAGGAAAGAGCAAGAAAAGCTTCCGTTCTAATGCAACATAGATCAAAGTTTGCTTAGCGTGGGGTAACTAACCTACAGTATGAGAATACAAACAAGCAACAGTGTTATTGTTAACTGGAACTATTAAAATATTTTTTGTTAATTGAAATAAATCTGAAATAAACTATCAATATTAGATGAAAAACTTAAATAAAAATGAGAAATGTTGCCTTGACAACTAACATAAAAGTACTAAACTTCAAAGTACTAAAATGACTAAAAAACATAAATAAAAATGAAAGATAAATAGAAATATTTTGAATTAATAAGCTATAACAGTTTTAACACCCGATTCACAAACGCCCAATTAATACCTGCTAAAAGAAATGAGAAGCTAATAGCTCAGACATTCTCATGGAATATGAAAACAGTCGAAACAGCTGAGACTGAACCTTGCATGACTGAAAGATCATTCCTGAGTACATTCAGACATTAAAACGGATGGGAAATACATAATTGTTACTTTAATGGTTCTCATTTCTCTCTGTTTATTTTTGCATGTGAATCAGCAGCAGATAGTCTGTCATGGCAGTTTTTCTCTGAAGCCGGCCACAGTTCTGATTACCGGCTAATTTAATCTGGTGACCTTGTTGAATGGCTCATGTAACTTTAATCTGAAATCAAGCCCTTACTAAAAGACTGAAGGATAAGGAGAGTGAGAGAGTGGAAGACTGAGACACTTACCTTAGCACCACATGTGACATAAGGAGGCTGCCCGTCCCTAGCAGGCAACAGACTAATCACCTGCAAAAAAGAATAAACACAGAGAAAGAAGGATTTGAGATTGAAATGAGAGAGGGAGAAAAAGAAAGCGACCCAAAGATGGAAACAAAAGGGAAGAGACAGGTCAAGTTGGGTCTCATTAGAATGCTAAAGTAAGTCTGATGAATTTTTAATTAGAAACATTCAGGCCGCTGTCTCTGATTCTGTGGTTTCAAGTCAAAGACTTCACTGACTGCTAAAGACTGTGGGGATTCAATTACCTAAAATCAAACTATTTGCAATATAAAATGCATCAATTAGATGTTCCAAAGAATTCTGTCAGGGTTTCTCCGGAATACTTGATTCTGATTGGTCAACGGCAGGATTGAGCAGTTCAATATTTTTGAGCAATAACTGTTAAACTGTAATTTGACCATTGTTTATTTTTGGATATTATTGGACATGTTTCTGACACAAACATTCGCTCCACACATATATTCTATTTCACGTCTTACACGGTTGAGCTTGATGAAGATGCAGGGCTTGCCCTCATCGTAACCATAGTAACGATCTGTGATCCCAGAGCAATCCTCCAATATGGAGCGTTTGAACTGGCAGGAACGCTTGGGGAAGTTTTTCAAACTGCCACTGTCCTCCTGGATGAAGTACTGATCCGGTTTACACTCATAATTCTTCTGGGCTTGGACTGAGTCATTGTAGGCTGCATACAAGAAGCAACAGGACATGACCTTCTGTGAATGTCTTGCTAAATGGCATGCAGAATTTCAATAGCAAAATGACTGCAGCAGGTTCTGTGTAAGTATGTTTTTTTGCATGGTATTTACGCGACAGGAAGTTATTGAGGGCTTGGACATATCTTTCCCATGTCTCTGTGTACTCCACTGTGTAAACGATCTCCAGCTGCTCTCCTATAGGTCTGATCATCATCCCTGCAAAACAACAAATAAGAGAATGGGAAGACACAGAGTCTGCGAGTGTGTGTTTACATTCATTTTGCATTTAGTATGTTTGTGAGTATCAAAAATTCTAATTAATAGCACAAACACTGCAATATCAATAAATTACAATTAATAAATGTCAGGGTGTAGTTGTTATAATTTGCTTAATTTAAGAACAATGTTTCCATATGTACAGGATCAAGTCTGTGTATTACCTGGAGTTGAAAGTCTATCTTGGTATGTTGGTCTGTGGTCATCGAGTGTCTGCAGCATTACGTACATGGTGAGAGCAAATAATCCAGCCAGGAAAATGTAGAATGCCAGATAAAACAACAGGATCAGACCTACAAGGACACACACACACACATTCAAATCCAAACTCAATACAAATACATACTGTACTCAAGCTTTTGGAAACTTTCCATACTGTACTATGTCACTGGAACTCTGTTCATACTTAGCATTGAAATATAAATTTTTAATGTAATTCTTTTTCAAATCAATTTACCATGCATATTAATTTAAATCAATAAATACAGTTGCATGCAGCAATTAATGGCATTTAAGCCCCATAAACCCATATTTTTCATGACATTAAGCATTTTAGATGACAGATAGGACAAAATGTCGACTGGACTAATGGTACAACAGCTTAATTTTTTGCCACCAAGTGGCCAAGTCCCTGCAAATTTGTATTAAGCCCTTACATATTTGTGACCCTGGACCACAAAACCAGTCTTAAGTCGCTTGGATATATTTGTAGCAATAGCTCAAAAAACATTGTATGGGTCAAAATTATCGTTAAGGATATTAATCATTAGGATATTAAGTAAAGATCATGTTCCATGAAGATATTTTGTAAATTTCCTACCGTAAATATATCAAAACTTAATTTTTGATTAGTAATATGCATTGCTATGAACTTCATTTGGACAACTTTAAAGGCGATTTTCTCAATATTTTGATTTTTTTGGCACCCTCAGATTCCAGATTTTCAAATAGTTGTATCTCGGCCAAATATTGTCCTATCCTAACAAACCATACATCAATGGAAAGCTTATTTATTCAGATGTATAAATCTCAATTTAAAAAAATTGACCCTTATGACTGGTTTTGTGGTCCAGGGTCACATATGTACCATAAGTGATACAAATTAATAAAAGTCTAGTTCACAAAAGTATGGTTTTATTCTTGATATAAATTAAATTAGAGATATACATTTGTGTATCTAGACCCAATGACTCTGAAATGGCACTTGAGTCTGTAACATACTGTTCAGGTGTTATAAAACAAAACATGATTTCCTTCAATGTAGCTCCTGCTACACTTTATGTACTTTAATAAAAACACATGTGTTGGGAGCGTTTGCAATACACTGTAAAAAAATTCCGTAAAATTTACGGTAAAAAAACGGCAGCTGTGGTTGCCGGAATTTTACCGTAAAAAATACGGTAGCAACATTTTAGGTTTTACGGTTTTAACTTAAATTTACAGTTAAATACGGTAATTTCATTAACTGATATAATGTTAATATACCAACCTATTGAAGTACTGAAATCTGTTTAGCTTTGTAATACACTAGTAACCACCAAATGCAGGTGGTGATGAGAAAGTCACATGACGAACCAAAGCCCATCAGAAGCAGCTTTTAAATATTAACATATATAGAAGGGGCACAGTGTCATTCACACAAACACTAAACACCATCATGGTAACACACATGAAACTGAAATAATGCAATAAACATTCATTTAACAACATTAGGTGTAACACACAACCCTAATATACAAAACTGATAAGAAAAAAACTAAGAAGAAACATAGTTATTTCAACAAAAAAACATCAAATTTGAAATTTGGGATTTCTGGGAATGTCAATTTACGGTTATTCACTGTAAATTATACGGTCTTTTTCACTTCCAAAAACGGTATACTACCGTAAACCATTTAACAGGTTTTTACTGTAGCATTTTTACAGTCTTTTACCGTTAAATTCACTGTCATTTTTTACAGTGTAGGACATGCAGAATACTGTGACCATATAACTATTTATGACTATATCTTTTGCACTCTCTGTCTCTCTCTTTTCTCGCTCTTCTTCTGCTGATGTAACCGTGAAAAGATACAAGACTAGTAGGCCTAATCCTCTTAAATTCTCACCAGAGCTTCTCTCCTCATTCATACATTTATACATACACACTGACTGCAGCTCTGTATTACACACATTCATACTTTTACACACCAATGTCCCTTACAGGAAGTCTGGTAATCCTGTCTGGTAAATGTCTGGTCTTTGGCAAAATTGAATTACTGCAGGGCAGATGTGGGTTAAGAGGGGTAAAAAAGGGGAGGGAGGGTGACAGAAGGAGAGGAAGAGGGCAGATTAAGTCAAAGGGGAATTTACAGGGAATATATGGTTTAGAAACACCAGAGTAGCCTATGTCTCTACAGACATTCATGCAGACACCCCCAACTACTCAACTAAACTAATCATTACACTCTAGATTATTATGTCTACACAAAGAGATCTCTATACAGACTGCAGCACTAGCATAAAAGATTGACATTTAGCATACTCAAGAATGACAGGATGATGCCAGGCTTTTATTTATATAATGTCAGTACAGTAATATGGTATATATAATGTGGTACAGTATGGTTATAGAAGAGCCAGTCTGAAAAGTCTAACGTTAATGACGTTAATGATGTTAATGTACTGATTGGTAATTTCCAGCACAATATTTTTTCCCTCAGATTTTCTCAGATAGACAGAAGATAAACAAACCTAGAAACTCTACTTAGGCAGTTGACATGCTGGTTTTTCAGTGTCAAGATTTTAAACAGTAAATATACAGTAGACCGTATCAGGTCAAATTTATATTGTAGCTGCTGTAACTGGTTTTTACCATTTTAAACACATTTTAGCTTTTCACAATACACTTAAACAGTATGCATATTAAATATACATTAGAAAATAATTTATACAATTATTATAAGAAGAAGAAAGATTATATAGACTACTATTCAAAATGTTTCTGAAAGAAGACTTTTATGCTCAAAAGAGTGCATTAATTTGATCAGAATGCAGTAAAAATATTGTAATATTTATAGGACCATGTGACACTGAAGACTGGAATAATGGCTGCTGAAAATTCAGCTTTGCCACCACAGGAATAAATTAAATTAATATGCTGATTTGAAGAAACATCTCTCATTAATGTTGAAAACAGTTGTGCTGCTGAAGATTTTTGTGGAAAGCATGAGAACCACGATTCTTTGATGAACATAAAGTTCAAAAGAACAGTATTTATTTGAAATAAAAAAAATTGTAACATAAATTTCTTTATTTTCACCTTTGATCAGTTTAATGCATCCTTGCTAAATAAAAAAAAGTATTAATTTCTTTAAAAAACATTTTACTAACTCCAAACTTTCGAACAGTAGTGTACATATAGAATTTATATTATATATTAGAAAAATATTGCTTTAAATCTTAGGCTAGGATGCAGGACATTGCTGGACTTACACTCCCTAAAATGTCATGTTAATTGCATGAATGCTCTCAGGTAAAAAGCAAAGATTCAGTAACTCATCCATTTGCCCCTGTAATAAGAATGCACTTCAAAACATCTTCACCAACACAATACATAATTTAGGGTTGCTATTTTGAACAGATCAGGCTCTAATTGTTTCATAGAGAAAAGAGTGCTGAAGGTGTATGCCTGAGGAGAGCTCATTAAGATACAGGACACCTGAGCTTCATGCAGCGAGGCCCCTGGGGACAGTCGATCAGGTTGCCCCGGACTGAAGGGAGGAGGGATACCGGATCTCTGCCCCCTGCTCTGCTGCATCCTGGAGCTCCCCGCAGAGACAGGCTTTCACTGATCAATAACAGCAGTGCAATGTGAGGTTACTCTACAGACTAGAATTACACAGGAGTGTGTGCTAATATGCTTGGAGACTGGAGAGAGTGAAAAAGGATGCAATGCATGCGTAAGAGAGAAAGTGAGCAAAGATAAGGTAAGAATGTTGCTTAACTTGTGCAGCAAAGCCCAAATGTTCAAATCATTAAGCACTACTTAATTTCACAGCAGGGCAGCTTCAAAATAAGCACAGTCTCTCTCAGAATACCAAGAACCTGCATTATCAAACATTATTTGCTGAACTTGGTTATGGGGTTAAAACGTGGTACATCCTAACTCTCTCTCTCTCTCACACACACACACACACTCACACACACTCTCTAACTATTCCATAGCATTGACAGCTGAATTGCAGATGCCTGAGGGGCAATGTCGGAGTGCCGTTTTAATGCCATCACACCCTGATTAAAAGACACATTCAGTTCCACAATTAATCTACGGCTATTGAAAAGGATACATCTCCACATTATAGCCTCACCAAGGCAACCAATGAGCCTATTAGTAAAGGATTACATCCACACTAATTCACAAACCCCCTCGCGCACACTCAAAATGGCCCTCGGCTAGATTAAATCATCTCAATGTCACTGCAAAAGACAATTTGTAACACTATGCGCTGGGCTAAAGGTGTTTTGTTGTTCAATTCTACTGTTAGAGAGATCTTTCACAATTATAAAGGCAGATTTCTTTGGGGTTTGAATATGTTCGGAAAGTTTAAACAGGTTAAACCAAATGGCAGAATGTAAAAATGTTCACTGCACTGTATAAAAAGAAAGGCAGCTGATGTGGTTACAAACAATAAGTGATGGCATTTCGGTGACTGTATTTGTTTTGTTTTTTTTGACAGTTCCTAGATGTTATTCAATGATATGTTAATATATCAACCTATTTGGACTATTAAAATAAATTTGCCGTGATAAAATGGACAGATAACGATACACAGATGGCACACTGGGGCTTATAGCAGATCAACATTGGCCTCTAGCAGCTGTCGGGGTAGCTCAGGGTAACACACATGACACTTAATTATTTTGAGCAAGGACATTTTAGAATGCCCCTTTCCCCAATAATTAAAAAAGCAATTAATTATTTTAACAACAACTTAAGTATTTTTACTACTATATTTTACAACACATGAATTGCCTTGTTAAAAAATAATCTTTAAAATAACATCAATACAATAATTCATTCGTTGTACTTCTTAAAACATTTTAACATTTCACAGAAAAATAAAATTCTACTTGTTTACAGTATAATAAGGTATAAACATATTTTTACTGCAGCACTTCTACATTCTTTTGAAGTTAAAATTATTGCTGTTCTTTACAGAAAGTGGTGCAGGGAATACTGATGTGTGCAAGCCTCTATTCAGACATTCTGCTTGAAGCGCATTTTGTAGTTTAGCAGTAACTCGACGCATCACATTTCTCCACGCTGATGCCGCGCATTCAACATTTCTATCCATCATAACACAATAATCAGTGAGAACCTGATTACCTGGATCTATCAGTAGACCTCAAAATTCGCAATTTGCTCAAGATAAACACATTCTAAGGCTAATGTATTAAGTTTTAAAGCTGCGTAAACAAGCGACGAAGAAAAGGAAACGCATGTGACGCATTACAGCCCGGTGGCAAAAGCACTAACTGGAGTTTCAGCACCTAGGACAGCGATCCGTCTCTTCAGTGAACTTCTCTGCACTAATAGAGTGAGACTCGCTGTGATAACGACAGCAGCTCACTACTTATTATAACTGCACAATTTTGCGACACACTAATTAGCATTTGTGCATGCGTGTAAGCTTGTCAATTGTGTGCAAGACTTACCCCAACTGCTCGCGGTCCTACCGCAGAACTCTCGCGTCCTCGGGTTCCAGAAGAACTCCTTCCATGCGTTCTTCTTATCATCCTTTGCCATTTTCCTGAACGAAATAAACGTGCACTCACAGAGTCAACGCCTCGGGGCTAACACTCTCTTTGAGAGTAATAAAGAGCTATTCAACCCTTGAATGGTGTGGACAAAGGGTTAAAACGATCTTTAAGATCTCAATAGAAAGCTTTTTAAAATAATAATTAAAAAAAAACTGGGTAAAAGCGATTCTCAAGGCACTCTGCCGAAACCTGAGGACTTAAGCCAGGACTGAGTGAGAGCAGACCTCGCTCTCTCTGTAACGCCCGGCGTTCTGCCCACCCACAAGTGCAGTGCGCATTCCGCAGAGAGAGAGAGAGAGAGAGAGAGAGAGAGAGAGAGAGAGAGAGAGAGAGAGAGAGAGAGAGAGAGCGGTGCAGCACTAATGTGCCGATACTGCAGTGGAACAAGCTCTGCCTGCTGAATGAATGCAATCTTTTAGTTCAAACAGCTCTAAATTAAAATGAATTTATTTAAATGGTATTTGCTATCTTCCCTGCAAGCACGGGGGCATTAATAGTTAATATGGCTATATTGTCAATGTTATTGATTACTTTGATAACTTGTCTTATGATGTCAGGAATCACTTAATATAGATTTAATTTTTTAAATGATAGCACATTAACGGCAACTTGACATTTTAAGTTCAGTCACTTTAAATAATTCGATTTAATTGATTTAATTATGCTCAGTATTTAACTATTAATTTAATTTTAAAAACATTAAGAAAATTCTACTTTTTTTTTTTTAAGTTCTACAAACATTCCGATTTTACAGTGCAGAATTAAGCTTATTAAA